ATAACCTCTACAAAGCTCCCTTCCACATAGAAATGGCGCGAAAGGAAGCTCTACCTTTCTACAGTCACTCGCCGCGCGCCATCGGATAGGAACGCGCCAAATAAAAAAACTCTGCTGAATAAACGTGACATTTTATGGTGTTCATTTTTAAAAATAACTGTGTGTGTATTTTTTTAATTGGAATCCGTGTTAGTGTTGTTTTTTGGAAGTAAATTGTGAGTTACATTTTTTCATTATTTTAAAATTTTTATCTTTTACGTAATATAAAATTATATATAAAGTATATATTTTGTGGGTATTTTTAAAGGCAATCGAATCACAAATATAGCACTAACAAAGTCACTAAACGAAAATCAAATTTTTTTTTCATTTAATTTTTTTTTTCAGAAACATTAAAATTAATTTCCCGATAGTTAACTCTTTCGTTTAGTGACGCAATTGGTTTTAACGTAGTATATGTTCCAAATCAACAATTTTAGAGTCACAAAAATTTTAAAGCAATCCCTTAAAGATATCCCTTGCCAAAATAATGGGTAAATAACAATTACTGGTAACACTGTTTAATAATTCCAGTATAATATATCAGGTGTTGGTAGGTCAATGATCAGGTCAATCTAACTCGGTTTTTTAAGGCAATTAAGTGCATGGAACAAAAAAAACACATTTATTATGGGTTCCCTTCTCACGACACAAACTAAAGCAGCTGTTCATACAAAACGTTAATACGTAATCGATCAATTTGTATGAAATTTGAAATGCATCATGCTAATGCAGGTCCAACAAGACCAACCTTAAAAAAATGTAACGAAAAAGGTCCGTATCGTACTGTCAGTTAATAAAGACAACATAATATAACCTCTCTAAATTTGTATAGGTGTTGAAAATGAACAAGCTCCTTGGAAAGTAACAGTTAGAGCATTTTGAAAGAATTCGTACAGGGAAGTACTGCCATCTTACCTATTTCAGCCGCCAAACAGTAATGTGAGGATTACTGCAATCCGGTTTTAAAGCCGAAGAACACGCCTGTCCATAACAGTTGCAGTGCCACCCAGAGATTGAAATCGCAAAGATTTGACGGGCATTGCCACTGCGTCCGTCACGTCGAGACATAAGATGAAAAGTCCCATGTGCCTGAAATTTCACCAGCACCCTTATACTCTTTAAATCCGGAACGCAGTTATGTTCACATTACCGCTTGGCAGCAGAAATATGTAAGGTGGCAGTACTTCCCTAGACGAGCTCTTTCACAAGGAGCTCTACTGCCGCTACATTTATAATAGTGAGTGTTACGAATGAAAAAAACGTTAATAATTACATAAAAGATAGTAAATATATTTGAGAACATTGTTTTACGGTAAAAAATACTTTGCTTACAAAATTACTGAATAAAATGGTGCCTAATAAAAGACCCAAAATTTTCTTCTGTCTGATGTTAAAAAAATCGAGGTATAGGTTTCATAAAAAAAAGTTTCGTTGTTATTTTTCCGATTGCGTGTCTGGCACATTATTATTCCGTAGCTCAGTTGGGAGAGCGTCAGATACGGTATTCTGAAGACGTTGTTTCGAGTCTAGCCGGATCAAATGAAGTCCACTAACATTTAAAAAACTGACGTTTTAAGCGTGCGTCTAAGCCAATGTGAAAACTAAGTTAACATTGGAAAGGTAAAACGTGTAACGTGCGTTTTGCAGAAGAGCGATTTAAAGTAATTTTTTTAGGAAATGATCATAATTCTAATTTTATTTGTTAAAAGTTTCAGCTTGTCCATAATCAACGAGTTTTTATCCAGAAATAAAGACGAAATGTCATTTCATTTGTTTGAAAACTAATCTGCCAAATCATTACTGTTTCAACTGCACTCCGATTGGCCAGCCCGAATTCAAAACATTTTTTTTTTATAAAATATGCGTCGTCAACTAACGAACACCACTCTGGATCGTTGGTGGTGTCCATTGCTGTCCAATGAGGCAACTCTGCCACCATAATGGGAACTCTTGAGTCGGGCAAGATACGGTTTGCTCTTTTTTTTTTAATAACGCACACACTCAACGTAGCCCCGCACTAGGGAAACCCTGTGTCGCGGGTGCCATGGACACACACATAGACAACCACAGATTACACCCAAACTCACGAGAGAAATAAATGTAGGCCATACAAATATTTCTCCCGGTTCGGGAGCCGAACCTGGGGCCACTGCGTGGCAGTCCGGCATGGTAACCGTTCGGCCACGGAGGCAGTTGACGGGTGTCGTCAATTGTTTCGCTTCAAATAGACCAGTTTATCTAGTTAAATATATAATTACCGATGAAATGTTGTTTGTTTTGTAATTAAATATTTTGCAGTTTTTCCCATACCACAAAATGGAACAGCCCTCTTTGTTAGGGATATTATCTTTATTATAATAAATACAGAATATTTTTGGAATATACGGAGACGTACACACGGGTCAGTTGTTGTCGCTGTACTATTGCAGTTTTCTAATTTGCGATTTCAGTGCAAACGAGAGTTGATATTTAAAAGTGTAAACTCTACTTCTGGTTATATACTCGACGTCCATAATGTAACAAATAGAATTAGAATTATTAAATACGTAGATGGAAATACAAAGGAAAAATCCTTCGAGCCGACAGGACCCGAATCTGCGACCACGAGATTCCGTCCCCGTTGCTTTACCAACTAAGCTACAGACTGAGTTTACTAAGTCGACGAATTTCTTCTGTGTTTGTTATTAGATTATCGCTTTCGACACTTTTTAATTTTTTTTTTTTCTAAAAAAATTTCTTTAAAACGCTCACCTTTCCAAGGTCGAAGTAAGTGAACAAACTCCATAGCACAAATTAAAAAATTGTTTAGAATTTCGCCCACCGGCTATTTTTATTATCTATGTGGAGAAGTATAAGAATGGAGATTAAGCAGTATTATGTATACACAACGTATTTTTTCCGGTAATCACGTAACTCGGAAATAGATTAGTCAACACCGCCATTGCGGCAACAATGTTTACACGAGGAGTTTGCCATTCATAATATTTATTTCTTATTAGAGCACTCTACCAAGTGTGTAACAGTCTTTAAAAAAGGCGGAAGTTCAACAATAAGACTACTCGATAATTCGAAATCAGTTGTTCAGGGCTAATTGAAATTGTTGAAAATATTTTACGGAATAATAGTAATGTGCTGAACAACTACATCCAAAGTCACTTTATCTCAAACAAGGGGTTTCCTGTACTAAGAGTTTGAAGACCTCCCTGGTCAAGTGGCTTGCATAACGATTTTCATGAAGTCGTCATCTCCTAGGTCCCACGATCCCCGGCCGGGTCAATGTACAAAAAATTAATTTTTATACATTGACCCGTTTACTGTTTTCAGTATCGTCGTTGTTTCCGATTTTCATGACACAAGTGCTTTAATTGTAAATGCAAACGTTAATGGTGGCCGAACGGTCGCCATGCTGGACTGCCACGCAAAGGTCCCGGGTAAGTTAAGGAGTCCCAGAATTTACTCACAAGCACTACCCGAAACACCCACACTAGAACTAATTTAGAAAAAAAGCACTTTTGACGTATGATCTCTCGTGATTTTATATCAAGGGTAAGATATAATTAAAAAAGCGACAATGGGCCTGTACCTTTTTTTTTATAACATCAAGTGACGGGACAAACGAGTCGTGCACCTAATGGTAAGCTACACGCCTGTCCATAACAGTTGCAGCGCCACTCTGAGCTTTAAACAACGAAGATGTTAGATGTAAGTTGACAAGTCTCATGTGCCTGTAGTTTCACCAGCACACTTACCCTTCAAAACCGGAACGCAGTAATGCTGACATTAAGTACTGCTTGGCGGCAGAAATAGGCAAGGTGGCAGTACTTCCCTGGAGGAACTCTATCACAAGGAGATCTACTGCTGCTAAAAAGTCGAAAAGCTAAACTAAGTGATGTTGGTTTGTTTAAGACAACAGATATGACCGATTTATATCCGAAAAGATAGTTTCAGTTTCAATCTGTAGCAATCGAGAAAACTTAAGAACGCATTAGACCACCCTAACCTTTTTTAATTTTTACTAGCTATACGAGGAAAGACTGTCTTTCTTTGCGCTCTGCAAATGACAGCCTTAACTTTCTCCTAAGAGGAGACCCGTACCCAATAGTGAGAACTAATACTTCTGAAACTTCTCCGGGCGTGTGGGCACTATAACCTACAAAAGTTTAACGCAATCGTTTGAGTAATAACTAAACGCATACGGAGAGAATTTTTTTTTATGATACCTAGTTACATAAGTTGACAAGTCCCATGTGTCTGCAATTTCACCAGCACCCTTACCCTTCAAAATAGAAATGCAGTAACGCTCACGGTGCTGCTTGGCGGCAGAAATGGCACTACTGCTACTACAAAGTGCATTAAACATCTTTGCATCATATTTAAACAAAATGGTCCATTTTAAAATTGGTAACCCTAAATGGCTATCGAACAGACACTAGCAACACCAAATGGGTTGATAGTTCTTTACAAGCAGTTTATTAAAAGTTTCTACATATGTTCCATTAGTTATATTATAAGATGCCTTTCTATATTTTACAATCGATTTCACAACAACATCATTATACGAATTATCTATCAATTGACAGTAGATGTTTTGATTTGAAATTAGGTTTAGGTCAGTGCGTAACTCGTTACATAATAGTTGTAATAGTTATTGTATTTGTAGGCACGTGAAATTGCAAGTAACATTTGCCTACATGAACTCTAGTGATTGATTTTTTTTATAACTTTATGTACACAAAATTAAACAGGCAATTTCTTTTTCATTTATATGTTCTTATTACACACTGAAAATGAAAAAAAAACGATTATGTATTCGTTATATAAGTATTATACAAGGCGTTAAGCGTTAAGATACAAAGATCAACACAGGCAAGCACACAAAAAAATTCGTGAGGTCCGCTGGTTCGTTCCGTGGCCTAGTATCTGGCACGGTTTGCTAGAAGACGTCGGTTTGCATCCGGCCGCATTGATGGAATTTTTCTAAGTGTTAGATCTTTGTTTTAATAATTTTAGCAAACTAGTGGAGTAATTTCATGAAAGATAATTGAATATCAGGTGGTTTTAACATTCAATAAAACACTCGATTATTATTTTGAACTCATTCATTTAATATTGATTCATTCGATTAATATGGTTATGAGATCAATAACGGTTTTTCTCTAACTTACATCAGTAT